AATTGAATGTCTACAGAACATGTAATGTCAACCTCGCTATTTTTCAATTTCATGGTTCTCAAACTTGACTGTGATCAGAATCCCCTGGGGCTGTGAACGCAGATTGCTGGGTCCACCACCAGAGTTTCTGACTTAGTGGGTCTTGGTTGGGCCCTAGAACTTACATTTCTGACCAGTTGCAGGTATGCTAATTAATGTTGCTGGTCCAGCGACTGCACTTTGAGAACCAACAGTCGGAGAATGTTAATGCACCTTTGTTGGCTTGAGCACCCAGGTAGTCAGTAACACCATTAACCGAATTAGGACATCCAGCTGAAGGGGCAACTTGACAGAGGGAGAGGTAGGAAAGATGATAAATTTGGCTTTTTCAAGGAAACAAAAGGCCACCAAAGCCAGACCTACAGAGCGTCTTTTAATATATTTCAAAGAAATGTGAATGCAACTCAATTTTTAATTGGGCAGATGAGAACTTGTAAAAGATAGAACACGCTGCCCATTCACTGCATAAATGGTAGAAAGTGCATCAGTTATGTGAGTCATCTAAACTCCATCAATTCCTAGGACAGAACACCCAGGAAATATGCTTGTGAACAGGAGCAGATTTCATGTCACCACGGCTGTAATTTGCATGTGGATGAAAAGCTAACATAGTGTAGAAATGTGAAATTAAACTGGTCGACTGGGAGCAGCGTTCCTGCTAAGATCCATTTCTCTTCCTCGTTACTTCACTTCTTGGCTGAGTGTGTTTGCTGCTTTCTCCCATTACTCACAAAATTGTCAAACGAGTCCCCGAGGAGGCACTAGCACAGGGCTCCTGGAAAACAGTGTTTCGACAGTTTACACAATGGGACAATGAAGCCAGTATGTTCTCCACTGTAAGAAAGCCAGTGTTCTCACTTGGTTAATTGACCCGCAGCTTCAGAAGGAAGACGACGAGTTTGGAGGGGAAACAATGAGAAAGAAAATGATCAGGGACTGACTTGTAGGTTTTTTTCACTTTCGATGATGCTTATAAGAGCAGACAATACACAAGACTTTTAATGACACTGAATCCCCGGTGGGAACTAACTTGGGACAAAGAAATGACACAAAAATTGTTATTCTATTCAGAGAGCATGAGGAGAAGGAGGCACAGGTCTTTTCTAATGAAAAGTTAGGAAAACATAAACCAAACTACTATGGGTAAGTTGCAGGAGACGAGTTACTTCTTCAAGTGCTGTTTGTTCATGAGATTCCAGCCGTGGTTCAACGTAATGCGCCTGTCGCTGTTTTTCTTCCGGGAGGAAGACGAGCCAGGGGGAGGGGTGGACAGAGGGCAGTGCTGCCAGGTCCCTCCCCGGGACACGGACTCCGGGGCAGTGGGTGGGACCCCCAGCCTCACAGTGGAGTCTCTGGGTGGCCCCTGTGAGGCAGCGTCCCCTTCACGCCTCACTGCCCACGTCTAAAGCTGTGACGCCACCATCTACACCTTCACCCAATCAAAGGAGAGAAATAAAAATACCCGAGCATCTACCCTTAGTGTCATGAGTCCTCAAACAACAGACTAGGGGTATGAAGGGCATTTTAACCATATGTACCCAGGACAAAATGTAATTCGGGGATGAAAACAGTATTTTATAATTTGGCAAATCTCTGTTGTGCTAAGTGACACCACGTAGTCGTGTCATGAAGATAAGCGGCACCAAGTTCCACCAGGCGATTCAGCAGAACTCCTTCTCGACCTCTGCGTGTACACTTCATAATTACGCCTCAGTTAATCTCCTCCTCTCTTCCGAATTCCTTTCAGAACTGGTCAGCAGGGAAATCAATTTCCAGAATTGGGCCTTTAGTTATTAACCACAGGGTGGAATCTCCTAAGTGTAGGATGGTTAATACACTGCTCTGCTTGAAGCCTACTAGATTCCTCTAATTTCATAACGATCAGATTTAAAAATATTTTCTTCTAATAAATTTCTGTTTTCAGAAAGTACTGCAAATCTTGTTTGACCCAACAATGAAGAAAAAGTCAGGAATGAACCCTAGGGAATGTGTATAGAGAAAAAGCCATCATTTACCATTGAAGGAAAATATTTCTTAAGTTTAAACCAAAGCAAACCAAAAGCACATGACAATATATAGTCCCAACAACATTTTATTGAGAACCAGCAAGTCAAATCCTTTACAGAACATAGTACACACGATCCCAGCCCTTTCCGATACATGGCAATACAGCTTGGGGTGGGTTCCTTGAATCTTCCCAGCACCTTGTTTTCTCTCTACATGACAGAAACGGTTCTTCTACAGCCTCGCAACACAGAAACGGGTGCTCTGATCTATTCAGGGCAAGCAGAAGTGGAATCAGAATTCAGTGTGAGCAATAAAGGACCACAGACGAGGTCTAGGAGCCAAAGGCAGACAGATAACTGTTCACTCTTCACATTGTGTGTTTCAGAATCAGCGAGCAGGAGGCAGGGCATCGTGAGATCAGACACAGGTTAACCCGAGGACACAGGGGCAGAGCACGTCTCTCGATGCAGTTCCGTGGGCGGGCGGTAATAAGGAGAGAAAACGGCCTTGGATCCATTTTTACCTAGAATTCCACCCGCCATGAAGGCTTCTGGTGCCAAATGATTGGAAGTGACATCAAAGACGGAAACGGGGCCAAATGACCCTCAGGGTCAAAGACGGACAACTCAGATGAGACCAAAGCCCAGTGGGATGGACAGAGGTGGTGGTGACGTTCACGTTTTTACATGATGAAAACTTAACTACTGCCACTCTCATCACCAAGGAACAGGAGCACACGACAGGACAAATGAACACTCCTCAAAAGCTTTTGAGGTTGTACTACCTAGTCTTTGCAATGCAGATAAGAGACACTGTTGAGTTTTCTGGAAAGCAACTTTTGGGAAAGTTTTTACCAAAAAGAAAAATATCTGAGGGAAAAATGATGTAACAGGAATAGAACTGAAATGATGCCTCTTCCTTGTAAAACTAAGAAAGCTGGTGTAAAAGGTTCTTTCAGTTTCCACCACGGTGTTAGGGTACGGTCTTAATTTCACAGCCTTCAGCTGAGTTTAAAATCCCATCAAACTTTCTTAGCTCTTAAGTATAAATAAAACAAACAATGGCACAAATATAAAATCCTGCCAGTTTAATTTTAATAAGTCCTAAAAAGCTAAAGAACATGAAATTTGAATTGTGTTTGTATTGACAAATTTGTTAATGGATGACAGTAGCTCAATTGCAATCCAAATATTAGCAAGAATCTTATTCAAAATGTTCTCCTCCCTGCACTGAAGTCTTCCTGGGGCTAAATTAACCAAGATGTTTGGAGAAGCACTGTGATCAAGCCTCCTCTGGCTAAGAGTGTGTTTTTGCTCCTTTTCCCTTGGTTAGTAACTACAGCAGCTAACAGTACAGGTACAGTAGAGCAAGACATGTAACTAAACCAAACGGGCTTTACTCTTTCAAGGTGGACACCCAGCCCACAGCAGATGAGCTGCACCGTGAATGCTGACACCGTGGCTCTGAACGTCCACGGCAAAGGACAGCCCGTACGCGGCTCACCAGCAGCACATGGGAAACCTGAGAGGCACGAGGTTGTCCTGACAAGCACAAGTCACAGAGCAGGAAGCTAATCTAGAGATTGAGCAGTGGGCTGTTGCTCAGATCCTATTGTCAGTAGCCTTTAAAGGGTCAGACAATTTCCAATAATATTAGCTATTTTGGTGCTAAATGGAAAATAATAGGGGACCACTACCTGCAGGAACCAACATACACTCAGTGGGGATTTGTTTCAAAGTTCAGATAAAAATAGCATGTTATTGTGACTGAGAGAGCAGTGAAGTAGGCACATTTAAACTGCTTAGACACTGTTTTTTAAAGCTGCGAAACGTTCTAAAATCAGTCGAAACATATAGAAAATACCAAAGAAGCCTGGAAAGGCAGAAATGGAAGGAGGTGGAATGGGAGCCGATGAGTGAAAACATCCGTCAGAGAGTCCTCATCCACCATGCAACCCCGACCCGAGGGCTCAGACAGGGACGAGCGGTAAGCCGAGGATACGCAGAGACAGGCTCTATTTGCTCTAAGCACAATCACTGGCTAACACCTCCTAAACAAACATCAAAAGCTGAGTGCTTCGGTTCTAGCTATTGGCTGTCTAGCACCCTCCCCCCCCTTTGTAAACAGAAGTAGAGCGCTGTACGATTTAGTGAAAAGACCAACGTCCAGACAGGTTGACGGGAAGGCAAATACCTTATGGCTTGTCCCAAACAGCCAGCACTCAAGCAGAGTCACTGCACAGTAAGTAAACACTAGTCAAAGTTTAGAAGGTCAGTTGGACGTGTGGACCGCAATCCCGGGTCATGACACAGTCACACAGAAAACTCCTTCCGGAGCTTATACTAATTCTAGAGAACAAACAAATGTAAGTAAATAGTTCCAAAATACACTGGCTTATTTTAAAGAAAACAATAATCTATTTTTGTTAGCTTATCTTGAACTAACCTTCAAGTCAGAATTTTCACAACGACCATTGCATTTTAGAAGTTTTTGATAACAATACTGGCTTACAGAGCCTGGATTCTCTACAAACAAAAAGAGGCAAATTTGCCAGTATGTTTATCTCTAGTTTAAATGAGCATTGGGAACTTGAAAAACGGTATTTAGGTCCCTTGCCCAGTTTGCAGCTCTCGCAATTTCTGTCCTGGAAACATATATTTATATTTTTGTCCCCTCTCATAATCCACCACCAGAGAAAAGCAGGGTCATAAAAACCATCTGTCCTGTCTGAGACAAAATACTAAAGAGCAGAGGTGGAGGGCAAAGTCCAACAATAATCATATATTTATCTTTGTTTATCTACATTTAGTTTCTTTTAAACATTTTTAGAGCAGTAACAGCCAGTTACATTCATAAGCTTAAATAAGAACAAGATTTCCTCCAAGTTCTGAAATACATACACATATGCCCTCAAAATACTGTACATATCATCCAACCTCCTTCTAGGAAGAAACTGAAGTTAAAAGATTTCCTTGGATATTTTTAAAGTAAATGACAAAGAAAAGGAACTGAACTAAAGACAAATTCTGAAAAGAAACCCACTAAATCAAGTGCACAGTTTGACTCTCTATTGCCTTGAAAAGCGACGAAGCACTTGGCCCAGGCTTGCTATGCAGACAGGGTCATGCAGTGACTGCAGGGGCAAGCTTTCCTTTCACAGCTCAAACGCAGGGAACCTGGCCTTCGTGGGCACCAGCAGGTCAGCCAGGAAGTATATCGTTCCAGCCATTCCTGAAGGAAGAGAAAGAGCAGAAGTTACCACACCAGCGACCCCGTCTTGTGGAGTGGTTCATTCTGTAGCATCAACATTACGACACTAACGGCAATGATTTAAATGAAGCGGGCAACTGTCTTTATTCATATTTGCTGCAGTTCAGCATTAGAGAAGACCACCAGTGAGGGGCTCAGCCTCTTCATCCTGGTGGAAGACGGGAGGGAGAGAGGAGCCAGACGAGTTCACGGCCAGCCCTGCCACTCAGCGCCTGTGAGCTCCTTCACCACGGCACGGTGGGGCACTTACCTGTCAGCCTCGGTCTTCTCGTCTGTGACGTGAGCGTAATAATGTCTGTGTGTTTCTGCTGAGATGAGTTATGACGGCATCTGCAAATGCTCAGCATGTGCCTGGCTCCATAAATGGCAGCCACCACTATGACTACGAGTATTAGATCTGTGGTGGTCCATGTGCTAATTGATTTTTAATATTGAGTTGTCATATTAGTAAAGAAAGAAGTCTTTTTTTGTTTTTTTTGAGGAAGATCAGCCCTGAGGTAACATCTGCCAATCCTCCTTTTTTTGCTGAGGAAGACTGGCCCTGAGCTAACATCTGCCAATCCTCCTCTTTTTTGCTGAGGAAGACTGGCCCTGGGCTAACATCCGTGCCCATCTTCCTCCACTTTATACGGGATACCGCCACAGCATGGCTTGACAATCGCTGCGTCGGTGCGTGCCCGGGATCTGAACCGGCGAACCCCGGGCCACCGCAGTGGAGTGCGTGCACTTAACTGCTTGCGCCACCAGGCTGGCCCCAAGAATTCATTTTAAGAAATGACTATAAAATTAATTTGTCGATAAAGCTCAAATTCAAATACACTAATTACCAGGAAGAGAAGCAGATGCTGATATTCTCAGGCAAATACGTAATGTGTGAAAAATACCTTCAAAGAGGGAGAAGGGGGTGTCCGGTGTTCTGCATCCGTGTTCTCCGTAATCCAGGCACCATTCAGCGAACTGAAAATGAGAGCCAGTTAAACCACTGCAGTGATTTCTTCCAGAGACCCCATAAATTGATAGAGATCATCTCTAAGAACTACTCTGAAAAGTCAAAAACTATCTTCAAGGCAGAGAAAAGGGGTTAATGCAGACAAACACGTGGTCTGAAAGAGAGTACCAAGTGCGGGAGGAATAGAATGATACGTCTGAGCCACGTATCTCCAAGGTTATCAAAGAAGAAAGGAAGGAGCAAAACCACCCTACATCTCTCTTTTTCCCCCATAAACGCTGTTGAGTAGAATCATGTTCTTTTAAAAGGAAGCTAATTCCACTGAATGGTTTTTGAAGGTTTTCTTAAGTAACTGGGTTTGCTCTACAGACTCACGGTTAAAAAATAAATGAATTAAATCAGATGAACTGGAGCCCTTTCTACAACCTCCCGGGAGGCGGTGCTTCTCTCTGGCGGCTCGGCCTCCTACCTTACAGGCCCTGTACAGGTACTTCACGTCCTGCGTGAGGTTGAACAGCGCCAGGAAGGCGTAGGCGTTGCCCGCGGTGCCGTGGCACAGCCCGTAGCCCTTCTTCAGCAGCCCGTGCTGCCAGATCAGGTCGGCACACTGATAGGCGTCGTTGAGATACTGCTCCTCTCTGAACACCTGCGGAGCCGGGGGACACAGTGCCATTGGAAGGGACGCAAAAGAAACTTCTACTGACATTCCTTCCTGACAGGAAAGGAGGGAGACGGGGTAAGGGAGAGAGTAGGGGGCTTGGCAAGGAAAGTCAGGGATGTAGAGCCAGAGAGGTGTGTTGTACCGGTGGGGACGAATTACAACAACTCACTAGCTTGCTTCTGTTTTTATGTACCTGGGCGTGACCTTATCTGCAGTCTGTCTCACGTGCACGTGTGTTTGTGTGCATGCGTGTTATCAGTGAAGCAACATTATTTTACTTGAATCTTGCTGCTACCATTATTCACTTTCCAAGAACACACGCTACCTTCTTAGGCAACAACGACGCCCTTCACTATTAGGACGTTTCTTCACATACTGGAGAAGAACCTGCTTATAAAACTCGTTAAAAAACTGATCTGATATAAAACACTATACTGTGCCAGAAAAGCAGACACACCTCTTCTGCAGCTTCCTAATCTTGATCAAAGACTTGAGAAATACTCTGAGTAGCCGTTTTTACTATCTCATTGCAAACTAAGTGTCCTCAAAAATAGAATAAGGCAGTTTTAAAAGTTTTTCCATTATACCTAATTTTCCGAGAGGAAAACTTGATATACTAAAAGTTTGTTTAGACTATGAGAGGCCACTGCCTCTTTATAGTCTGCAGATTTGTGATTTGTAGATCTGGCACCAAAGACATAGATATATATCTTGGTTCACTTTTTTTTTTTCTCAAATAAAAACCCTCTTTTCCTTGATTACAGCTCGCCACAGCATGCTTTTTAGAAGATATTTGCACTTTTTTATGATGGTACAATATATATAAAAGTTACCATTTTAATCATCTAAAGTGTACAATTCAGTGGCACTAAGCACATTCACAATGTTGTATAACCATCTCCAGTACCTATTTCCAAAATGTTTTCATCATCCCAAACAGAAACTCTGTACCCATTAAGTGAGATTCCCCATTCCCCTGCCCCCAGCATCAGCCCCGGGTAATGTCTATTCTACTTTCTGTCTCTGAATTTGCCCATTCTAGACACCGCATACTAACCATCACGTCACCTAAGTGGAATCATACAGTATTGGTCCTTTCGTGCCTGGCTTATTTCACTTGGCATAATGTTTTTGAGGTTCATGTATATTGTAGTGTGGAGCAGAAGTTCATTCTTTGTTTACGGCTGAACAATATTCCACTGTACGTATATACCACATTTGGTCTATCCACTCTTCTGCTGACGGACACCTGGATTGTTTTCACCTTCTGGCTACTGTGAATAACGCTGCTATGGAACACTGGTGTACAAGCACCTGTTTGATTCATTTTTAAAAATTCTTTTGGGTATATACCTAGGAGTGGAATTGCTGGATCATATGTTAATTCTGTGTTTAATTTTTTGAGGAACTGCCAAACTGTTCTCTACAGCAGCTGTACCACTTTACATTCCCCCCAGCAGTGCACAAGGAGGGTTCTTCCTACTTTTAATTGTCTCTGCCACTGCTGCTCTACCCGTCAGTGAAGCAGTCTCCTGTCCTATGAAATAATGTCTGCTATAGTACGACAGATACTGAACGAATGAGAATGAATTATAATCCACTTAGCAATGTGATCTTAGGTCAGACAAGTGATTTATCTATTGTTCCTTTAAGGATCATACGTAAAACTAACGCCAAATTACAGAATTTTATGTTATGTTTTCCAGTTTATTTCTAAACCGAGACAATTCACAGCACCTTATAGGCCTGGATGAGCATGTAGATCACCCCCGGGGAGCCGTGGCACCAGTGGACCAGCAGATCTCGCGTATCGTCCACACACGGAGGGTAATTGCCGGACGGGAATTTCAGCTGGCAGACGTAGTCCACGCTGGGCTTCACCAAACTGTGTAACTTCCCGTGGCTCACCTGAAGGCTGGGCTGAGAACGAGAACAGGAATCGTCAGTTCTGCTGGAGCAAACAGACCTTCCCAAGCCTCAGGGATGGGTTTTAAAGCAGCCAGAAAACATGACCAAAAGGAAGTGGAAGTCTCTAGGAGGTTCTGGACTCCATCCAGCTGCCAGAGCAGACGAGGACGAGGCGACCAGTCAGCACCTGGAGCCTTACGTGGCCTTCTTGTGCCACAGATTCTTATTCAAAAGTGTCAATTTCTCCTTCAAGATTGCTAAATAAGCCCCAGGAAATGATGCTCTCATGAGAAGTCCTCTTCCAACCTCCCTTCCTGGTCACGCTTGCTGAAGGCATCCCACCTGTCCTCAGTCTATCGACTTTGGCTGATGTCCCCCAATGGCAGTAGATCTGAACAACTGTTGGGCACATCCAGCTATTTTTCAGGTAAGTTACACAGAATCCACAGAAAAGGTTCCTTAGCCTTGTTGTTTAAGGGAACCTCGGGCTACAAACGCTCATTTGTTTTCTACTGATTTTGTTTGTACTCCTGGAATTTGTTTCAGTGGGTGGTGCCCTATAATGTGGGATAACAGTCTTAATTCAAGGCATCTGCTGGAAGAGACGAGAGGAGCAGAGGGCACTTTGTGCAGAGGTACAGCTGAAACACTAGTCCACACACATGGCACCACATGGGCGAGGACGGTCACTCACAGATCAAACAGCATCTCAAGGCACGGGCCTTCTGTTTATGCACTTCAGAACGCACCTCGGCAAACACCCTGTTGTGTAGGCCAGGGCACCACAGGGAGAGGGACGCGGGGTCCAGAGAACCAGGAAACAGAGCTGGGCGCCTCGTCCCCACCCTGACGGCACAGCCGGAAGCACACGCACGGCCTCAGCACCAGCGCCTCTCACCTGCATCAGGAAGTAGTAGATCCCTGCCAGGCCGTGGGCAGCCCCCACGTAGTACTCCTGGTACCATTCGTACATCAGTGGAGTCTTCGCTGTGAAGTTTCTCTTTCTAGCTAGGTTTTCTCCAGAGGTTAAGACTGTTTCACAAATCTACAGGGAGAAAACAGACCAAAATAACGAGAGAATCGGAATAAAGCCTTCCTGGTGGAGGTAAGGAACTTTTTGCTAAGAGGAACCAGGGAACACGGCGAATCAGACACCATCTCACGGCGTGGACGGGCACAGTTTGATTCTGCACTCAGAGAAGCGGGGTGACTGTATTCTGCCTAAAAGAGGGAGAATATGGAGCGTCTTGAACTCTTTTCACTACAGCTGACAAGAACTCACTTGTCAAAGGGAAGCAGAAACTCCTTCAGGCGCCAAAGAAGACGGCTGCGCCTGGGAGGTGGAATCTGGCCTCATCTCCTTCTGTGGGGTCTACACCCTCACACGGGGCAGGCTGGGCCCTCATTCCAGTCACCCCTCAGAGCTCCCAGCAGCACTCAGCGTGAAGCTGCTGGTCTCTGACCACGCCTGACCTTCAGAGGCCAAGACACACCTTGAGACGTGCTAACTAGAGAAACAAAACCAACGGTTTAGGCAGAAAGTAAGTAGATGCTAAAAAGACTCCGAAAAGAACAAAAACGTGGTACCTGCTGAATATGGCTTTGAGGAATCTTTTCCACTCCAAAGTTCTTGTTCACAAAGAGAAGCGCATAGATGTAGCCCATCCGTCCATAGAGCATTTCATTTGGAGCGTGGGGATCAATCTTATTTAGGTGAATCAGCCTGGGAATAAAAATACATGCCTGAGATAATTTCAAAGGGATCGGATAGTGGTATATACTTAAAAATGGTACATTTAGAAAATACATGCACACAAATATATATATATAAAATATTTAAAATATATAATAATAATTTAATATATTATAATATAATATATAAAATGTAACTATTTTAATATATTTATACATTATAAATTATTATATATTATTACATTTTCAATATTAAGTGGGCTGGGCCAGACCAGAAAGGGTAGTCAGGGTTCAAAGATTAACCCTCAACTAAATTTCTTCTCTTCAGTTCACAACAGAACCGACAAACAAGAAAGTCTAAGAATGGAGGACTCCACGTGTCCGGCTGAGGCCACCTGGAGCCTCCCCAGTGTCCTGTGGATACGTGCCCCATCAGCAGCCGGGGTGCGAGGTGAGAAGTGCTGGCTATTGCAGCATCTGGCCTGGAGAAAGGACCAAGTTCACACTCAAGAGCCCTCTATTTCCGCCAAATGCAACGCCCGCGGTGCCCCAGTGATCTCCTTCCTTGACTGATTTCTTACGCGTGCCATCAGGCCTACTCAGAGTGTCTGCACAGCGGCCTCACCTACCACAGTCAACAACACACGCGAACGGCACCCAGGTGTCAGCCTCCCTGTCTCCCCAGCCCCCCAGCTTCCAGCCCTTCTTTTCAGAAATAACCTGTCCTAGAATTATTTTATGTACTTATAAGCAGATACACGTTTATAAAGATATCTCCCCAAAGGTTCTGTGGCTTGCTATTTAACGACACATCCTGACGTCCATTCTATACCAGCACACACCGAGTGGTCTCCTTCTTTATCATAGCTGCGTAGTATTCCACTGAGTGGGTGTACTATAATTTATTAGTTCCCTATTGAGATACTCAGTTCAGCTTCTCAAAAAAAGCTATTTTGGGTTTTGGTTCCAGGTGAGGTGCAGAAAGCAAAGTCCACCTCGCCTCTCCCAGTAAACGCAGCTCCAAACCTGGAAAGAACGCAGGACGTGGCTATTTGAGGACTCTGAACAGTGAACGGTGGCAGGTGGAACGGGGAAGAAAACCAGAATTGAAGTTCCACCCACCCAGTGGTGAGCCCACCACGTTTCCCCTCTGGTGCAGCCCCAAACCTGGCAGCGGGCACCGAGGGGCTAAGAGAGAGCCCCAGACGAAGCCTTTAGCTCTGTCTCCAGAAGCAATGGAAAGGAACTCCTACTATCAGAGAGAGCGAGTAAAGCACTCATTTTCCTTTATTTCCCTTGTTCCTTTGTTCTCTTGCACTCCAGGCCACGAGCGATGTCACGGTGGCAGCAGATGCGAAGGGGACAGGAGCCCACGGGAGAAAACTCTGAGGGAGGGGCCCTTCCTCACGGATCAGAGGAGCTGCGGTCCCAGGAGCGTGGGGGAGCCCCCATCGCTTCACTTCTCCTCCCGGCCTTCCGGTCACCTGGCCCCACAGGCAGGCACAGTCGTGGGGAGTGCAGAGCGGGGTACCCAAAGCCCGATTTCTTTCCAGAGGACCAAGAAGGGGAGCCCCGGGAAGCAGAAGCCGGCGGAGAGCACAGAGGGAGAAGAGCTCAGGAGAGAGACCAGATTTGCAGTCTGAACTCTGAGAATGAACCTTTTTCCTTTTGGGGGGAGGGGAAGCAAATATGATAGGTGGGAAAACCGTCCCTGCTATTTCAGATTTTTATCACACGACATTTTGAAAGCACAACTCAACCCTAAATTATCCTATAAATTCAATGTGACACTGTTTAAGTTATTAAAACAATTTAATTTTTGGTGAAACTTGACAAAATGACATTAGCATCCTGGAAAAGTATGAAGGCAGAGTCAGGGATTTCGGGAAAAGAGCAGTAATGAAAGGACATTAGCAATTACAGAGACTAAACGCCATGTTTCGTGTCATAAGCCACCTGACGACAAAGCCATTGTTGACTGTAAAACTCGCTCACTAAGTCGTCTGGGTGGGAACTCACTCCTACAGCAGTCACGTGTAGACGGTGCCTGTGCACGTGTCCTGTCTGACTGGTCTACACTAGGAACGGCTGGCCGGCAGTTGAAGTGCCCAGGACCACACCCTGGTGACAGGCTCCACGTGAAGTTCTCTCACAGGGACCCACAGGCAGAGGCACTGGGCGCTTCAGGCAACTTATGAACACCTGCACAGAGGGAGGGTTTGCCAGCGAGAGCAGCAGGAGTGTCAGGACAGGGCTTGTCCGCGGGGGACCACGTGGTGACGATGGGCGGGAGGTCTGGGAGACGGTACCGGCCCTACCACCGCTTGACGGGTAAGATCCAAGAGGTGCCGAGGACAAGGTGGCTTTCTCCCAGCCACAAGAAGGACTGCTTGTGTGTGTGTATCTTCCTCCTAACAGACGTGTGCACATTCGGCAGAACTTGGTCACTGTAACGTACTCAGTGGTGAGGTGACGGCTGAGGGCGGACACAGCCACAGACATCCACAGACAACAAAACAAACCAGCAAACAAGAACCTGACCACTGCCACCACCAGGACAGGTGCGGTGACCAGAGTCCTGGCTCTGAAGGGAGAGAGAACAACCCCCACCCCGTGCACCCCCCACAGCCTACGGAGAGGGCGGGGGCACTCACATGTAAAACCAAGAGGACGAGGTTTAATAACCAGAATGACATGATTCTAGTGACTGCGAGGGGCTGACAGCTACGAAACGGTGACTGACAAGAAGCTACGGAAGCATCCGGAAAGGAACCTGCTCCCCAGGAGAGGGCTGGGAAGAGCAGGGCTGGTTGCAGACTTTCCCCCACGACCTCAGCAACGGAGGCACCTCAGTCAGTCAGCTAGTGGAGTGCGCACGTGACGGCGCCTGCGTTTTTCCTCTACAGACACGGGCATAAACGCAGCGGGACGGCGGTCACCTCGGGAACAGGGACATGGTGCTCAGAGGCAGCTTTCCATTTCCTTGTGACACCTTGCGTGACCTTTTCCCCACGCCAACAGGGACATCTCGCCGGCAGAATTAAGAACCATTCTGTTTTCTATTTCAGTATCTCACACACACACACACACACATCCCTAACAGTTTTAAAGAACTTAAAAATGTTTATTAAGAAAAAGTCTGTGTTTTTCACACCAGAACTGGCAGCTCAGTAACATAGAGACCTTAAGAAAATAAAATCTGTTTACTAGACACAAACTCAACTGTTGTAGTGAACAGAATAAATGTTTCCGAGTTGTGGTAAAAATTTATCATCAAGTTTCAATATAACGTAGCAAATTGTATAGAATTTAGATATAAAAAAGCACTTTTGATTCACTTTTGCAAAGGAGACTGGGAGCACTATTCAACAAGAGAAACTACCGTGAATGTTTAACCAGACACTGTTCTGTGGAAGTTTCTCAGAACAATTACGCTTTAGACTCTCATCTAAAGACCACAGGTTTGGACCACGGGATCAGGAAACAGTCCTGTATCTGCCAGCGCTGTGACCTGCACCACCACGAGGTGGCGATATTTAATTAACATTCCAGTTATTTTGCAGCCAAGCTCATCTGCGTTGGGGAAATTCAAAGTAGGTAGCAAATATCTTTCTAACACTTGAAAACAAAGTATTGCTCAGAGCATCTCGTTAAAACAATATTTTGCAGTTTAGGGTAAAAAAGGAAGTATTCCGTTTTTTTTCTGGATTTGAATTCGAGTCATTAACACTCATTCGTTGGCTCTGGTGACCACCAAAGGCAGGACCTGGCATGTCTTACATGTTACATTCTCAAGATACAATGAAGAAAGGACTGCATTTACAAATCGTAACGATTATTTTATGTGTTTTCAGGAACTCAAACCCAGAAGCACACCGTGCAGCTCCATTTATCTGTTTTGATTGTTGACATTAAAGCAACCCCCCGAGAGGAGACATGTCACGGACATGTCACTCATGGGAGAACGAGGACGTGCAAACAGGACGGCTCTCTCCACCCCCAGCAAGACCTCCCCAGGGTGTGGCTGGGGAGCTTTTGCCTGTATCACCAAAAGGTTCGTAACTTTTAAAAAAGAAGTCCTTTTCCTACTCCTCACACTACAAAAGAGAGAGAGGGCCGACGTTTCCTGCCCAGAGAGCCAAAGCTCTCCATCACTCCCAGTACCGGCCCCAAAGCACTGCACGGCAGGTCAGCCACGTAAGTGGCACAAACGAGGCAACGCCCTCCCTGTGTGGGGGCACCGACGGCTCTGTGGGAGAGAGGGTGGACACGGGCGCAGGTACACCAGGCACCAGAACCAACCAGCGCTGTTCATCTGCCCACCTCCTCAGCACGTGCAGGACAATGTGAACACAAACGCCACACACACACTCGCACAGAGGCACACACGCACACACATATGCACACACGTGTGCACAACACACATGTGCACAGACACGTGTGCACACATGCACATATGCATGCACACATGTGTGCACATACACAGGCTCCTTTTGGGGAGTCACAGACCCCTCCAGGAAAAGTATAAATGCTCTCTCCACACTGAACACAATTTGGGGGTTTTCTATACCTCTGGAAACCCTAAGATTCCCAGGGCCCCAAGGTAAGAAGCTCTACCTTAGGGAAACACTGATTTCTTTGGATTTCAGTTTCTTTGTCTAAGGATTAGACTTGATGATCCCAAAGGCCCTTTTGGTCTCTAAAACTCCAAATTATGACTCTGGAAGCCCATTACATTAAAAAGATGTGGGAAAGGTAAGCTGGAACACAACGCTCGCAGAGGGTTACAACACAGACGCCGCACAGAGGGTCCGAGCAGCTGCGACATCTCAGAAGGGCTGGGACTCGAGGAAGAGCGGTTGGTGAGAAGCAAAACAAATCACTGACGACAGCAAATCACTTTGGATTTCCTGAAATTGAATTGAAAAGACTTATAGATTCTTCTCTTAAAAGGGAGGAGACATGAAAGTAATTTACAGATAATTCTTTTTCCTTTCTGTTCGGCCATGAACTCCAGAAATCTGCAAAATCAAAGCTGCAGCCACTAACAGCATATATTCCTATCACACATTCACATTCTATATATATATATATATTTTGTGTGTGTGTGAGAAAGATTGGCCCTAGGCTAACATCTGTGCCCATCTTCCTCAATTTTGTATGTGGGACGCCACCGCAGCATGGCTTGATGAGCGGTGCGTAGGTCCACGCCTGAGATTCAAACCTGCCAACCCCGGGCCACCGAAGAGGAGTGTGTGAACTTAACCACTGCGCCACCGGGCCATCCTGTCACGTTCTATATTTTTAACCTTAACAAGTCTCCTGGCTATAAATAAAAGATTGTTGAAATGTCATAAAATTTTAAAAAAGGTATAAATAACAAAAACACCTTTATTACCAAGGTATCAAAACAAAAAGAAATTTTAGCTTTCTCTCAAGAGTGTTTTATAATAAACCAATATTAACATCTACTGGTACTATTCTCCAAAGAGTATTTCTTAGAACAAGAGGCCCTAAGATGTCATTAGGAAAAGGCATTGTCCCCAAGATGAGTTTGGCCAATTCTGATCCCTAGAGTAGCTGGTTCCCTTCAGAGCCGCTGAAGACTGAGCAGCCAGGAAAGGTGCACGTTTAACCTTAAATAGTGTTTCCCAATCTGTCTGAATACACAAATCCTGTTTCCATTTAACACTTATTAGCATGCCTCACATAGCAAACTATTACTCTCTGGCTGTACATATATTGAGAAAAGCTGGCATTATATATCAAATATTGGGACCATGACAACTTATTTTTGTGATACTTAGAGTGATTCACTGAAGGCGACTTCTCTTGTGAACCTGTAAAGCACGTGTGTGGCTAACAGCTTTAAACTGGCTATGCGGAAAACCAGAAAAGCAGTTTCTGTGTTTCAAATTCAGATGGTATGGAACCGTTTTTGTGTTGGCTGGTCTTATGCAGGTTAATTAGTATGGAAGGAACATGTTAATTAAACTTGGGCCAATCACTGCTTTGTTTCACGTGCCATTTTGATCAAGCTTACTGACAGGTTTTATACTAAATAATTCCCAGCCCTCGAGTGGAGTGTTCACAGTTTTTTCCTCTAGACACACGAGTAACACATTTTTTGTTTTTAAGTTGCACTATATAATTTCTAACCTCTGATAGATGTAGCATAGGCATGTATAAAAAAAGGTATTCTGAGGATATGCCAATTCAGGGAATGATTTAATATAAGGATTCACAGAGCATTACAGGTGGAGCAAAGTGTTAGATTAACCCAGGGATCCTCACCAAACGAAATCAGAGATGATAACGCTCTTCTAACAGTGATACACAAGAAGGAGTGGTGGGAATCAAAACCATGGTCAACTCCGGGACGATCACTGACTGAAATGTTGCTGGACCCCATTAAGAAATGAGCTAAAGACCTTTACAGACACCTCGCCAGAGAAGATATGGCAAGGAAGCATAAGAAAAGATGCTCCACATCCTATGTCATCAGGGAAATGCAAATTGAAACAACAGTGAGACACCACCACACACCTATTAGAATGGCCAAACTCCGCAACACTGACAACACCAAATGCTGATGAGGATGTGGAGCAGCAGGAACTCTCCTCACTGCTGGAGGGAGTGCAAAATGGTGCAGCCACTCTGCAAGTTTCTTGTAAAACTAAACATACTCTTACCATACAATCCAGCAATCATGCTCCTTGGTATTTACCCAAAGGAGCTGGAAACTTATGTCCAGACAAAAACCTGCACGTGGATGTTTACAGCAGCTTTATTCATAATTGCCACATCTTGAAAGCAACTAAGATGTCCTTCAGTAGGTAAATGGATGAATAAACTGGTCCATTCAGACAATGCAACATAATTCAGCACTAAAAGGAAAAGAACTTTCAAGTCAAGACAAGATATGGAGGAACCTTAACTGCATCTTACTAAGTGAAAGAAGCCGATCTGAAAAGGCCACGACTGTATGATTCCAACCATATGACATTCTGGAAAAGACAAAACTGGAGACACTAAAAAGATCTCTGATCGTCAAGGGTCAAGCAGGAGGGAAGAGGGATGAATGGGCAGACACTGAGGATTCGTAGCGCAGTGAACCTGCTGTGTGACACTAGCAATGATGGATACATGTCACTACACATTTGTCCAAACCCACAGTGTACAGCACCCAGGTACACTATGGACTCTGGGTGATGAGGACATGTCAGTGCAGGGTCACTGACTGTGACAAGCACTCCACTCTGGTGGGCGATGCTGATGGTGGGGAGGCTGTGCCTGTGTGGGGGCAGGGGGCGTATGGGAAATTCTGTACCTTCCTCTCACTTTGCTGTCAACTGAAAACTGCTCTAAAGAGTAAAGTCTATTACACAACAAAACGACCTTTGCTGGAATCGCAACTCTCTGCGTGTAGCGCGCTCAGTGGGAGCCTAGCAGCACTGCACGCAGGGCTGCGTGGCAGCCAGATTTCTCAGTAGAATTCTCAGTGTTCCATAAACGCTAGGAAAGCAATAACTACAGTTTACTAGTACAGAAGTTGAGTAACTCTTCATAATTCAAGCTTCCAGTGGGCTGCCCTGATTTATACTAAAAATGGAAATCAGGGCTTGCACACCATTTGCCCCAGAGGTATGCAGTTGCGAATCAGTCTGTGTCCCCTGGGAGGCCCCTCGGCCCACTGCAAGAAGTGACCTGCATTTCCTCGAATTACTGATCTTGGGTAGCCTTGGATTAGTATCACTTGATTAGGCTTCTGATCACTTTTGTTACTGAACTGATGCTTGATCCGGAACATATCCACGTCATTACATCTTGTAATAAAATAGGGATTATAATGGTTGTTCCTTAACTACATCATAGGAATAACGTGAGAACTGATCAAATGGCAGTACTAAGACTTACGGATGAGAGAAAAGTTTATTGTTAGGTCCATCGAGTTCATTCTGACTCCTAGAGACCCTGTGGACAGCAGAGCAGAAGCCTGCCTGGTCTTTTTGCGCCAGCCTCTCCCCTTCCGGTGCTCTATCAGACAATGCCCCGCTGCTATTCACAGGGTTTTCAGGGCCAATTTTTTCAGGAGGGGGTGGCCAGTCCTTCTTCTAGTCTGTCTAGTCTGGAGGCTCTGCTGAGGCCTGTCCACCATGGTGACCCTGCTGGTGTTTGAAACCCTGGTGGCATAGCTTTCAGCATCACAGCCACACGCAGCTGCCACAGTGTGACAACCAATAGACAGACGGTTGTGTGGTTCCCCGACCGGGAAACAAACCCAGGCCGCAGGGGTGGGAGCAGCGGATCTTAGCCACTAGACCACCAGGGCTGGCTGAGAGAAAAGCACTCACTCGAACGCTCTTCTGCTGACACACACAGAAGTAATGCATAACTACGTCCAAATAACGATCCTCACAAAGAAACACGATTACCGGGTGATGCAGTCCTCGGCCTGCTTCTCATTGCTCATCTTGTGGTACAGCACTGCGGCCACCGCCAGGGGGCCCGCGTCCCCGCAGAGGAAGGTGATGGAACGCTTGCTCAAGCAGTTCAGACTCTGCTTCACGTAGCCGTGCGCCATCTGCAGGTAGCCGGGGTCCCCGAACACGTCGTAGAGGTGCAGGTAGAGCACAGCGATGCCTGCAAGGCACAAAGGAAACACCGTAACGCTGAGGAAGGGCAGCTGACCCCATCACCCCGGTGCGCTGCCGGCTCAGCAGCGCTGGCTTTTGATCAGCTGCAACAGGCAAATCATCTGGCAGTTCAGGTGACCTGGTTCTAGACTCAGCCCTGTTACCAAGCAGCTCTAAGAACTGGATATAGGCCAACACCGTCCTGTTTCCCCGTCACCACAACTCTACATAACAGCAACGCTAAACCCAAGTTCATTATTAGTGCTTGTTGCACGCTGGCTGTTGTGCTAAAGTATTCTTCCTGATGGTTTAATGATATGTCATCAAACTATGGTTCCAAATAAATGTCATCTATTTATTTAACAAAATTATTTATTTAATTGATAATGAACAAGAATTGTTTGTTCTTGTGAGCTAAAGAAATTCAAAGACTAGGGAATGAAAAACTCAATTTCTCTTTATATAGAAGATAATTTTTCACACGAGAAGGTAGGTAGAGTAACCGAATCCCCTCCCCCAGTATTATTCCAGGCAGGGATTATAAAACAATTAAGCTATTTGAGATCTGAGAAAATAAATTCAATTCCTTAATTTCTTCCTCTGGCGAGCACCCAGCCACTTTAGGAACTACCCTGTAAAAGCTGGCAATGCTTTCGATTTGGGCCTGACTCGATGGCTTCTTATCCCTCCCTTACAGCCCAAGTGCGCAACTGCAGGCTGTCCGCACGTCCTCATTCAGCATGCCTATCACTGCAGAGCGCGTCCCCTGAGCCGACTGGTCTCGGGGCCGACTCAGAGACGCGGAGCAGGAGCCTGGCCGCCCGCAGCATTTCCAGAAACCCATCTCTCCCCTTAAAGTCCATTTTCCGTCTCATTTACCATTTTCAGAAGACGCAGAGCCTCTGTTTAAGTCTGAATTAATAGAGCCCATCTCTTCACGGAGTGCAATGCAGTAAAAATGCAGACTGCAAGATTACTTTTCACTGTACTGAGGACAATTTTACATTCAGACGCTTTGCTCATTTTGCATGGGTAATCTCCAGAGCTTTGAGCTGCAGACAATTCAATTTCACATATATGTTAAGGCCAAATTTTCATTTCCTGCCAAAGCTAATAACCTTGCCTGTTCTCTCAAAGTGGCGTGGTGTCAGCAGTTCCACGAGCTGACGCCCAGACGTACCAACGCCTAAGGTCTGTAGACGCGAGTGGACAAAACCACGTACGCGGGTAAGAAAAACAATCTCCTCACAACTGCTCAGTGTCAAGCGCTTCTTCTAGAACCCGGCCCTTCACCGGCGTCATCTCCACCCAAACCAGGCCCCTGCAAGTGCTCCGCTTGAACTGCCACCCGCTCGCTGTGCCCCGTCCCAGCGCGGCCTGCTCCCCTCACTAAGGTTCGTAAGCACCAGAGCCCGACGACGATGGGCTGAGTGAGGAGGAAACAAGCAGTGATTGAACACAAGCCCCCCGCACTGTTTCCTGTTCAGACCTGTCTCTCGTTACCAACAACTCCTCTTGGCCCAAATATGTAACAAACAAAACCCATTAAGGTTTGCAAGAGTAAGGTTTGATGTATTTCTCATGAAAAACAGGGAATCGAGCAGTCTCACAATATGTCATCTAGACGACAAATTCTGTTTTCCTCTCTTTGATCAGCAGAGAATTATCTTTCCAGCGTCTGGGATTCCACACCTCAGCTTCTGCTTCTCTCCTTCCTCTCGCTGGGGCCTCAGCGTCTGCGTGCTCTGATGAAGCCGCTCTGCAGGGCCCTGCCGCAAACGCCCATGGATGGGAAGGGCTTCCAGGGAGAGCTGCTGCCAGCGAGACAAATTTCCTGGGCGGGCTTATCATAAACCAGTCCAGGTCGGGAAATAAGACAAAGTGCTAAGTCAAGGGCATTGAATGCCTCATCAATGTTTTATACTCCAGGTACCCTAACTTAATAAGAGAAAAAACAGGGGAACCACCTGTGGCCGAGCGTCTTGAACCCGATCCTTATGATGCTCCAACCTTTGACAATACTCGTGCACACAGCATCACCTCTGTGTAAATACTGAGAGCGGGCGACAGCTGGCAAGGTGGGAAATAAAGACACAACCCCAAGGGCTCTGCAGGGAAATGCACCCAGTCCTTACACACTCACAGGCCTGGCCTCAGTCTAGGTTTGAAAAACTCTTTTCAAATGTAATTTTTAAAAATAGATGTGTTCTTCATGAAAAAAGTCAAATAGGACTTAGTACAAGGCATAATATGCAAAACACCAGCCCACCGCCCCACTCTCTTCCTGCCTCCCAGAGATAACCACTTTCAATAATCTTAGCCATTTTCTCTGGTATTTGCCTCCATATTTCTAACAATACGCTATGTGCTATCTCTTGATTTTCCACATCGGACATTTCTGGCTCACACTTGACTCTGGAAGATGAGGATTTAGCTCTTGTGATATACTGCCAAGTGGCCCCCAAAAGTGTATCTTCTTTTTCCCTCAACAACAATGCTCTGGATTTTAGCTAGGCACATGGCTGCCCATAACAATCTTTGCAGCTGGGTATGGCCATGGGACTAAGATCTGACCAATGGGACACAGTGGGCATAATGGGGGCAGCTATGGAAAATGTTCTTGAAGGGAGGGGACTTGCCATTTCTCTCCCTTTCCACTTTCCTCCTGGCGGGAATGCAGATGTGATGGTGCAGCTGAAGCAGCCATCTTAGATCATGAGGTGGCAGCTCTGTGATGAGAATGGTAGGCATCAAGATCAAAGAAACTCAGATCCCAGCGGACTGTGAGGCTGCCGCACCAGTCCCTGGATTGCCTGCATACACAAGAGACAAATTCTGTCGTGTTAAAGCCACTGTTATTTCAGGTGTATCCCCACATCCTAGTAAGCCTAATCCTAAAGAGTACAGCTCTTTCCAAAGCTGGAGAGGTAGGCAGAAGCTAGATCACAAAGAGTCTCATAAGCCAGTTCAGGACTGTGGGTTTTTTTAACTTGAAAAGCACCATTTTAAGCACGGGAAGAGCACCCTCAGATCTGTGCTTTCACAAGTGCACTGTAACTGCACTGGCAGGTGTGGAAGAGTGTGCAGGGCGGGATGCAGGACGAGCAGTCAGAAGGACTCTGCAGGAGCATGGACCCGAGAAGGCTGCCGTAGACGTGAAGCGAGACTGAGCTGGAAAGATCTGTCCAGAAGGCACAGTAGACAGAACCTGGTGGGGAATGACCGACGGGGAGATGGCCCGAGGACGCCCCGACGCTCAGCTCCAACAGCAGGTGGGCAACGGTGCCCTCCACCGAGACGTCACACTCCTCCAGGGGAGGGCCAAGTCGGCGGGAAGATGGGTGGTGTCCATTCATGAGCCCACCCCAAACACAATTCCGTTCTCTAAAGCGCACGTGACGTAATGAGGAAGAACATTCCTACTGGCCTCCAGGGTAACAACCGTCAAAACTGGTCACGAGGCCCACACAGGATGACGCGTGTACGGAGTTTAATCTTTCTAATGTTTTCTTCTTCATCACAGAATGTGCTACTTAATTAAGAGTATTCTTGGGCTTAAATTTGAGTAGCATATAAAATTTTCTTTGATACTGTTTGCTAAGCAAAAAGCAGAATAATGGAGATTTGCCTCTTTCTTCTACCCTTTTACCTTTTCTTCCAGACCAGAAAAGACTTACACATTTTGAGTGCATTTAATTATAAAAATCTGCTCCATATTGTTTTAGATTTTAAAATTATTATTTTTTTAAATGAAAGCCCCCCTTCTTTTTTTTGAATCTGGATAATTTTTGACATATTCACTGATATAAAATTTAAGTTAAATATTCTTCTATTTCTTAGCTGGCCCACTCCATGATAACTACTGTCATAAGCTGTGAAAACTAATGCTTTTTGATCTGAATTTTACTATCTTGTTCAATTTGCTCATATATGACTTAAACATATTGACATATTTTAGAAGAGAAAGTAATCCCTATGAAAAGAGATATGCTGAGAAATGAGTAAAGCAAAATCTAACTTATTATTTCCCATTAATCCTAAAGTCACTGAAGGTGATCAATAAAGTATATGGGACAAAATCCTACTTCTGTTAAGGAATGAGTACTTCCCCTCAGGAACCAGAGATTATTCCTTCTCTGGATGGTCTTACTTCACTTCCCACAGAGTACAGGAAAGTTGTTACAGGCATATCACCTCGATGATACATGCAAGTCCAGATACAGTTAAGTACCATCAGTAACAATCAATCAACGAAGTGCCTTTTAGAATCACGCACGTGAAGTCAGTGATCTTCTCAGAAGTAGCTGTTAATTCTTTAGTTATCCACGCTCTGGGAGACTGACTTGGTGGAGAAAGAAGAGGCGGACGTGGGCAGAGACCCCCCTCCATTCCAGGGGAGAAACACGGCTAAGAAGAGGAGCATGGGTGGGTGTGGACTGAAAGCCTCACGTGCGGGAGGTGGAAACGCAGCAAGCGTGCAGGGCAGGCCCAGGAGGCGGAACCACCTGAGCAAACTCCCGCGGACGGAAGGCTGGGGACGGCCTGGTTCATGAGGCTCTACTCCTTGGGGCACAAACCGTTAAAACCCAGACACAGAAACCTAGATTTGAGGCTAATACACTGCTGGTTTATATAGAAGAGTAGTATTGAAAAACAGCATTTTTCAAAGATAAATTTGGCCCTATGTGTTAGCCCAGGTCCTCCAAGACGGGACTGAACAGCAGTACTTTACGGGGGAAATGGCTCCAGACATGGACCGTGTGGAGCGCACGGCAGGGCGTCGCAACGGCACCTGCGTGGGAGTGACACACACCACCTCCACCCACAGCCCCCGATCAGAACAGGCAGCCTCACCAACCACAGCGAGGCTGAGAGGTCGAACCCTTCCAGGATCCCAGCAGCAGAGGAGCGCCAGACACAGGTGAGCACTAGAAGCATCCAACGTGGGGCCCGGGAGTGGGAAGGCGAGACAGAAGGGGCCGAACCTGGGCCAGCTCAGGTCTGAGA